TGACGGCGCGACGCGTTTGCTGTCGACGACGTCGGGACAGGGTGGCAGCACGATAGATGGTCTGTCACCTGCCATTCTTGCGGAACGTCACACCGGTGGAAGCGGGGCGGCCATCAAAAACACTTTTTGAATGAACAACCGCCAACGCACCACGCGCTCGACGAATCGCTTCTTTCCGACGCCATCTGTAGCAGTTTTTAAGTTAATTTAATTTAGTAACGTTATCTGTGCCTAATTAAAGAGTGTTAGAGTTATATTTTGTTATTAAGAAGAAATAAACCATTGGAAAATTAATTAGTGACTTTGTTCGTGTTTCTGACATCCGTGAAACATGGAAGATTCTGATATAGGCCATCCTGAGTTTATATATATATATATATATGTCACACAGTATTTCAACTTCTTATAAACGGACGAAACGCGAACTATACCTACGCGCCTCGATGTCGCGGTGCTTTCGCACGGCTACCCACGTAGGTACCTAATTCGTAAAAAAAAATACAATTAAAAACAACACAATATTTCCTACTTGTCATATTGAACATGTACTTGAACTGAGTTTTAGAGAAGCGTCGCGCTGTTATTGTTAAAAAAAAAAACAATACATCGTAACATCGTCCGTTCGTCACTACAGCCGTATAGCCGTGACGCCGTGACTGTCTGTCTGCGTCCTAAGCGCACCCCCCGACCACAGAGCATGTAATTATATTATTATTATTATTGAGGCATTCCCTTTTTCTCGAAATTATACAAATTTCGGTAATTTATTATTATTATTATTATTGCCCCCGACATCGATGCGCGTATTTAGAAATAAATAGGTTACTGGTTAAAATGGCCAGTTTTAAATTAATTAGGTATAGCTCGCGTTTCGTCCGTTTATATGAAGTTGGAATACTGTATGATATTATTACCGTGACCGTGACAGCATGCAGTGCAGTCATAATGATGATGGCTAAAAAAACTTAAAAAAAGCGCGAACGACTGTATGCGTTTCGTTTCACGTACCGTACTTAATTGAAGTAGGTACCTAGTTGTAATAAAATCCAACATCCATAATGAACATTATTTTATTTTAATTTGAAATTGAAAATCAATTGCGAAAAATATAGAATGGAGTAATGGTTGATTGTAACGATATTAATATTACCATAAGTTTTAATTTTTATAACTACATAATAAAAATGTTAGGACTTTATATTCATCAATATTATTTTGACACTGTCTAGATTAGGTCGGTATTTTCTAATTCATTTTATTACTCTGAGAAGAAATGACGAAACAAATCCAGAGATATTTCTTTTAAAAAAGATGTTTGCGTAAAACGAATCTTATCGTCATCGTCAACTTCTGTGTCAACAAACACTAGTTTCTTGTGTATGAATAACGCAGTTTTTATTTCTATAATAAAAAGATCAAATATACATAATTGTAGAATTACACAATAAAAAACATATAGTCAGAATTTTAATTCGATTCCAGATTTGACATTGGCTACTGTCATTTTGTGAAATAATGATACCACATATAATAGTGTAGTGATGAACATAAAAATCGATAAACAATCAGTGTGTGTGTTTTATAATAAATGTTACAGAAAGTGACAGCGATAGCGACAGCGATGACGGCGACAATTTATAAAATAAATTATTACCATAATACATCTATCTGTTTTATTTGTTATGTTCCTTTATGGTTACATTCTTTAATTTATTTCACATACAATTATAAAAGAAAAGTCTCAGATCGTTAATAAATCGTCAATATTAAATTATCGTTTAGACATATTTAATTTCCTGATATACTTAGTTTACGAGAGTAAAATTATAAACGAGAAGAATCGATCCAGAAATATTGCATTTCCATATCGAATAATTTCGCAACGTCACTATTTAGTACTTGTCATAACGTTGCAACACTGAAATTGTCAAATCTGGAATCGAATTAAAATTCCGAGTATAGGTACCTACACGAAGTGGTTGTTTTGAGCAGTGAAGTTTGTTTCTTAATCTCCTTGGTTACGAGTTCTTGGAAAAAAAGTTCCTACTAATAATTATTACCTGAATTACTTAGGTATTTTCTTGCGCAAATTCTATTTGCAATTGCTACTCTTTTACGATATTTAAGTGAGTACCTATATAATGCGTATTTTAATTTATAAACCAACCTAAAAAAGTATTTCTATATCTTTTGTATCTACATAGTTCTAAATATAACTAATACTTGTTTGCAATTACAATAATTAGATAATTAGACACCGTGTTTATTTCGTTTTCGTCCCGAAGTAAAATGGTTGAGTCTCGGTAATAAGTACTGTAATACAATAGTTTCACAAAGAAATAAAATGTTTAAAACAAAAAATAACTGCAAAAAGCAAACTTCGAAAGCGCATACAAACTCATAGGTACATAGTTACATTGGTAATTTAAACATCTTTCTCGTCGGGTGGTATGTGCGATGCGAATAGTGCCTACAAATTTACGTCTAGTGTCATGTCATGTGCAAGCCAATGTCTATTTTTTAAATTAAAAAAAAATACATCTTTCTTTTTTTTTTGTTTTTACTTTATACATCGAAAGTAGGTACTTCAGGCAAGTTGATTTGCCGCGGGGAAACGAAATAGATTTCACGGTGTTTAGGTACATTGGTGCGGGAGCAGACATTCGATGATTTTACCCCTTAAAAAATAGCGAAAATATATCGTACTAATATTATAATTGCTAAAGTTCGTAAGTTTAATAACAGAATAATACTTTTATTACAATGAATATTAGTATTAATAATAATATAAACTAATTTTTGGTCGCGCCTACGCCCGCGTGCGGCAATAAGATGTTGTTCCAATTTTCATCTCGATCACTTCAGCCGTTTTGACATGTTAAAATGGCTGAATGGATCCAGACTGATACAATTATTTATATTTTACTCTGATGTCGCAATGCACGTCATATTTTTTTTATTTGGCTCTACGTAGCGTTTCCTTTGCTTGGCATTGACACACGTAGATCGCACCCACACTCCTCTATTTACAACGTTTGCAGAAATAACTTTACGCCTATGGTATAAGGATCATTTTCGTTTGTATCTGCCAAATTATATGACTTTTTAAGTTGTGATGAAGATTGCATTGTTTTAAAATCGACATGAAGCTACATGCGTATTATTGCGTTGCGTAGTTGCGCAAATCTTATCAATAAATTAATAATTATTATACATGCGAAAAGTTTGTGTGTCGTTCGTGGTGGTGGCCCGGAGGTTTAAGTCGCCCGCTTCTCATGCATGAGGGTGCGGGTTCGAAACCTACCAACGGCAAGTAGGTACCAATGTGACTTTTTCCGAGTTATATGTACTTTCTAAGATTATTTAGACACCACTGACAAACGGTGAAGGAAAACACCGTGAGGAAATCTGGGCTTATAATTTCTAATTATAAGTTTGTAATCGCTGCCAACCCGCATTGAGCAAGCGTGGTGATTAATGCTCAAACCTTCTCCGTGTGAGAGGAGGCTTTGCTCAGTAGCAGGGACTTATAGACTGTTGATGATGATGATGATGATGATGATGATGATGAAATGACAGTTTTTTTAAGGGGGGAAAATCATCGAATGACTGCTCCCGCCTGTGTGAGGCGGGAGGGAGTGTCATACTCTTATTGACTAAAAACCACCCCATTCCTACTCCTGCACTTCAAGCCGGAGCCCCGGTAACCCATTAGGTTCTCCGCGGCTCCGTATCGGCATCAACCTTATTGGGCTCCATCTTAAACCGACAGTAATGAAGAACCCTTGTTACCAGGTGATCAGAAAATGGAGGTGCTAGTAAAAAGTGTGCTGATTGGGGCAGCCGCTCTGGTGGCGGCGGTGACCATCGCTGTGGAGTGGTGGCAGTACCGTCAGGTACCGAAGACATATGTTGCTTATGGACAACGAAAACCAAACTCGAATTAAGGTAGGTAGTTGTTGGGCCCAGAGCCGTATTACCCCCTAAAGTAATATAAATGCCGGGCGCCAGGTTACAGAGGGGCGCCACGAGACTGCCCATAGAGTCAGGGTTGTTTTACTGGAGGCTGGAGCCTTAGGCATACGATAAATCGGGGCGGGGGGAATGTTTTGTTGTTTTTTATAACGTTGCCGACACTAGGATTTTCTCATGTACCGTGAGTGCATTTACAAACATACAAGTTCACATACAAGTGACACCCAGACCCGAAACAACAATTTGTGGGGCTCACACAGAGTTGCTCCATATAGGAATCGGGCAACGTGTGTGTCCGTCGTAAATATTGTCGGTATTTCGGGGCCCCTGAAGATGGGGCCTTGGGTACTATGTAGAGGCGCCTATGAGATACTTATGGCGCTCTCTAGGTTTGGTTGAAAAAAAAAACATCGATGTTTATTTACAGCTCACACATAGGGTCCACATTTTTATTGTGTGAGGAGGTTGATAGTTTGTATATGTATGTGTCTATGTATGTTTGCCCGCGATAATCTCTTGATCAGCTGGATTTTGATGCGGTTTTCAGGAATCATATTAATTATGTCATTTTTTCTTTTTTTCAAGGTCAAATACTACAAAAGCAGAGAATGGAGTCGCGATATTATTTTGTTCTAATTTAGTTGTAGTTTAGACTTAGATAAGTAGTAAAATATCTTAGTTTTCCAAAGATATGTTTTTTTATGAGGGGCAATAATCTAATGGCTGCTAACTGTATTTAAGAAGAGATCTCGACTTGAGAATCGTTCTATGTTAAAAAATAATGGTTAAGAGTACTTTTTGATATTTGGCTTCCTACCTTATTGGTATTTATTATATCACTACATAGTATAAAACAAAGTCGCTATCCGCCGTCTGTCTGTCCCTATGTTTGCTTAGATCTTTTAAAAGCACACGGCCACCTTATGGTAAGTGGTTACCGTGGCCTATGAAAGCTTTTAACACATCAGGCATTACATGCGCCTTGCCGACCCTAAAACTGCAAATGTTGGAGGTGCCCATGTTCGGCGCTAATCGCTTATCACCAGGTGATCCGTTGCCTCGTTTGCTTTCCAAGTCCCATTTCATCGGATTGGGCCCACTTGGGTTGATGCCGATACGGAGCCGCCAAGGACTTAATGAAAATGTCCCATTTCGTAAAATAAAATATTTCTTTTACGTGAAACTGCTAATATAATTAATATTAATTTTAAATGAACGAACTAAATCGTCTTTGTTGTCTAAGACTGATTTAGCGTATTTTAACTTTAAGTAATGCAATATTTTTCGCCACATTCAAATGGAAATTTACATAATTATATTAAATTATAAATATGTCTAAATTAATAATGTATTTATTATTATATTTACAACAATCTTTAGCATATCAATAGGTACTCATCATCTTTATAATATGAGTCACAAGACAAGTCATGGTGCCCGGAGGTTTAAGACGCCCGCTTCTCATGCATGAGGGTGCGGGCTCGAAACCTACCAACGGCAAGTGTCAATGTGACTTTTTCCGAGTTATATGTAATTTCTAAGATTATTCAGACACCACTGACAAACGGTGAAGGAAAACATCATGAGAAACCCTGGGCTTATGATTTCTAATTATAAGTTTGTAATCGCCAACTCACATTGAGCAAGCGTGGTGATTAATGCTCAAAACCTTCTCCGTATTAGAAGAGGCTTGGCAGAGCTCTAAATGCTCACCATCTTCATAATATGAGCCATCAGACGTCTACTGCTGAACATAGGCCTCCCGCAATGACTTCCAGATAGGCCGGTTGGACTTGGAAGTGACCTGCTGTGAATCTGCATCCAGCGGCTCCCTTAATCAGGTCGTCTGTCCATCTTGCGGGTGGACGTCTTCCACTGCGCTTGCCGGTACGTGGCCTTCACTCGAGAACCTTTCTGCCCCAGCAGCCCTCGGTTCTCCGCACTATGTGCCCTGCCCACTGCCACATCGGCTTGCTAATCCATTGAGCTATGTCGGCGACTTTTGTTGAAACATAATTGGGTAGTTTCCAGGGTATCAAAATTAAAAATATAATTATTCTGTCAGTTAGGTAATGAAAAAAAATTAGACACGTATTTTTTTTATTTTCTCGTATTAAGGTGCAATACTTAGATAAAATGGTGGTAAGTTTAGGAGTGGGAGGTCGTTACGTCATAACGTGCTACAAAATGTGACACGCTGTGAAATTTTTGATATTTTAAATGAATATATCGTCGATAGTATTTAATTTTGTGAGAAAAGAAAAAATACGTGTCTAAAGTTTTAAATTAATGTACCAGATGGACATTGAAATAAAATTTAGGAAACTACCCTATTATATTCGCGGTAATGACATGTACTTTAAATATGTGTTCACATAAATATATTCGTTAGTACCATCTACCTCTATAAATCCTTTGGAAGTCTACAATGTATGTAGGTACCATTTTAGTAAAAACATGACGTTGAACACTTTCTCATAAATGTAATGATACTCATTTGTATTATATTTAATCATTGTTGTACAGAGCTGTATTATCCCTAAGGCGCTCTAGACAAGTGCCGGGCGCCAGGTTACAGAGGGGCGCCGCGAGACGCGCGTGTACAACTTTTTTATTTTTTTTTTTTTTTAAAAAAAACGTTGTCCCACACTAGGATTTTCTCCTGTGTCGTGGGTGCGTTTACAAACATACAAGTTCACATACACAATGACACCCAGACCCGAAACAACAATTTGTGGATCACACAAAGTGTTGTCCCGTGCGGGAATCGAACCCGCGACACGTTGCACGGCAGCCGGTTGCCCAGCCACCGCACCAACCGTGCAGTCAAATTA